TATTGCAGTGTATGTTATACAGTAAACCCTCGTTAATGCGAACACAGTTAACACGAATTTTGGTTTAAGGCGAACAAAAATTTGCTCTAGACAATAGTTCCATAAACTTCAATGTAAATATGTTCGGTTAAAATGAACCCTCGTTAATCCGAATTTCGAACAACTTTTTTGTTCGTTCACGGTTAATTATCGGATAATACAAACTATAAAAATTCCCAAATCATGTATTTTGTATATTTTTTGTCCTTTTTCGGTCAATACAAATACAGGTAAACAATGGCTGAAGAGATTAGAAAAGTCATTAACTCGAGTACCTAAAAATAGAAACAATACCTCAAATTTTCTTTCCGTCTTACAAAAGCTATTGAAAAGGTTGTAAACTTTTGAAAACTAATTAACAAAAGCAATGGCTTCTTAACAATTCGGCTTTGTTAAGAAGTGTACATATAAACTGATGTCTGATGAACATAATAATAATGTTAAATTATAGATGATATGTAATAATAATGTTAAGTTAAAAAATTTATAACAAAAAATTATTGTAAATATAAAATAATAATATGAAAGTTATTAATAAAAATGTTTCTATGATGAATCATAATATTGAGTTTAGAAACACGAATTCATTTTTTGCATTGTTCGGATTACACAAACTCCCCTGTAACACAAACTATTTGTCTGATTTTTTTCGTGTTCATGTTAACGAGGGTTTACTAGTTCTTAGACTTTTTTGTTGGATATATATTAAGGCAACTGCGCACCATACAGTGGTTAGTGTTGAAGTTCTAATTCTATATAACTTGTGTATTGTTGAAGTGCCAAAAATAACATACTAAATGTTTTTTTAAATAAAATTGACTTTGTTTTTAAATTTGCCATTGGAAAACATCCAGGTCGATTTATTTTTGAATTTTTTGATATAGACTGAATTGAACAGTATCAAATTATTTTGTATGTGGAATTCTATTAGTCAGTGTTTGTTGTTACTTCATATATATTGTCAATAAGCCACAGAGAAAAATCTTACTGATTTGCTCTGACCTTATTCTTTCTAATCAGCCTTCAACTGTCATAAAGCCTTTAGTACCATCTCACTAGCCATGGGGTTAAACAAAGTTATGTAAGTACCAAAACACATATAAGAGACCACCTGCTAAAAAGGACTCTACTTTTCTGTTCAGAATTAAAAGGCTAATTGAATCTATGAATCCGCCTATTAAATCCAATTTGATTTTGAAATATAGCTAGTTTATGTATAGTAGGTATTTTAATAAGAATTGGTTTATATGTCTGTAATATCATAATTAACTTTGTTTTCTTAATATTACCAAATTCAGTAAAATATTAAAATATTTTAAAAATATAATTGGTAAATGATATCTTTTTATGTGTTAGAATTAAGAGACCACTACCAAATGTACGCAAGTTTACACTGCTCATTTTAACAAAGTCTAAGCTCCATTTTACAGTTGTTTAAGAATTTTTACTAAATAATTTTCTATTGAAAGCTAAACCTTCTGTCATAATGGGAAGACACTGTCAAAAATACTATTTTTGTAAAATGTTATTTATATAAACATTAAATAATAAATAAGCCTACAAACTGTAAGCACGTCTTACAGTTTGTAGGAGTGCAATGCAGAAATAAAATAGTGAAAATCGAAAGTAATGTAAAATCAAATGTTTCACAAAGTTTATAATTTGTTATACAAAAGTACATAGTTCTGAAGATAGCGAACAATTATGGTAGGTATAGAATTTGTTTTATATAATATGTAAGATGTAAGTATATCCACTTACTTCTGATTAGAGTTCTTGCCACAAACGCATGCTGAAAGAGCGATGAGGAGAGTGATTAGCACCCCCACGCTTAATACTATCTCAACTAAAGTATACATAACAATAATTCTTAGTTATTGAAATTCCAACAGAAAGGCAGGAAACATTCCATCTTTTTGAATTTTTCAGATATAAGAAATGTAGGACAGTGGTATACGCGAGAACTATATCCAAAGTAAACTGAAACTTAACTGTATCTCCACATTTCTATAATAGAAATATTAAAAACTGAACACTGTGATTTATATTAAATTTTGTAATTCTTTTATTCATAGTTTCTATGAATATGAATTTATCAGTATATAAGCAAATAAGCAAATAATAGCTCCTCTCAACACCAACTTTATAATTTGTGCTCAACACAACACACAGATAATGGGTGCGTTTGGCAGAAAAAAGCGCTAGCAAGCGCTTATAAGCGCTAAAGTAGTTTTCGGCTAGGACACGATTGCTACTTCAGTAGCGCTGACACAATCCGCCATTTTGCTTATTTAATTTGTTTGTTTAGAAGTAGAGTTTATAAGTTGTTTTGTGCAATATTAGTTTTAAGTAATATAATGACATGAATAAACATATACATGCTATTAAAAACTCATGATTGGTAAGTTTTTAATATGAATACTTTACAAACATATATTTAAATTAGGTTAGTTTCCCCGGTTAAAACTAACATCGTGTCCTGGAGGAAAATAGCTACTTACGATTTGACAGCGCTTACCGCTTACGATCGCCATTTTGCTTACAAGCGCTTGCTAGCGCTTTTTTCTGCCAAACGCACCCATTATTCATAGATCATAGAGCACCTACATCTACCTCTGACATCTGGCCATAGACAAAAGACATAGAATATCTTAGAGCATAGAATAATACATATGTAGCTAGCTAGAGCTAGAGTATTAAACACACTGACCTCAAAATATATATATATAAGTAAACCGTAGATGCAGGATAAGGCTAGGCACATACATACAGAATTCCGAACAGGAGGGCCACATACATTCGGAATCCCGTTCAGACCGCGAAATGTCTAACGGAAAACTACTGTACGTGTGTAATGGGTCTTTGACTTTATATGGACTTGCTGCGTTCCAAATCTCGAATCAGAATTCAGAAATGAAATTTTGTATTATGTGACCGGCCTTTGTCAGGTTTTTTTGTGGGTAAATTGAGTGTATGTAATTACTATAAGCTCAGTTGCTACCACAAACTATAGTCTTTGCGTTATAGCCATGAACTAATGGTGGTTAATATAGCGCATAGCGCCATATTATAGCGTACTATCTCTTCATAACACATAGCGCGTTTTATGTAAGTAGTCGCTATGGCGCTATTGCGTTATGGTGCTACTGCGCTTTGGCGCTATTAAGTATTAATAATATTAATATCTAGCGGCAATTAGTTCTAGCAGCAGCGCTGTTGGGAGAGGACGTGTGACGCAAATTTGATCTCGTAGCGCGCTATTCATCGCGCGCGACCTAATTTAATGTTAGACGTTGTTTAGTTAGTGTATACTGTATATTTATAAATGATCAAAAGTCACAGTTGTGATTAAAGAAGCCTAACTAATGTTTTTAAATGTAAATAAAATATAGATACAAAAGTGTATATAATAGTGTATGTAAATAATTGATTTTTGTAAATACATTAAATAAACTATTAAATACACCTTTATTTGATTTATAATTTATATTAAGGTTAAAATAATGTTTACATCAATTATAATAAAAAAACAATTAATTTTATTTCGATTCTAAAAATCAAATTAATTCCATTTTAAAAAGTACATGACTTAAAAATATTTTTAGGATTATAGAAAGTAGTAAGCCTGCAAAATATGAAAAAGCGTGCATTGGTTTTTCTTTACCGCTTTATTTCATTTTAGTCTAAAATGCGACTTATTACGAAATAATATTCTTATATAGCACGCGATCTATCCAATGAACATGTAATATAACGTGGTAAGAGATATAACGTGTTGCAAAACTTAACGCGCTTATCGGCCTCCTACACGCTTTCTTATAAATAGCGCGCTATAACATAGCGTATTTAATAGCGCGCTAGAAATTTATAGTTTATAGTCTGTATCGTGCTGTTGGTTTATAGTCGTTTTGAACAACTTTACCATAAACTAATAAGAAGTGCTAGCGCTGACCACAAACTATAGTCTTTGCGTTATAGCCACAAGCTAATAAGAAGTGCTAGCGCTTCTATGCTCGAAGTAGCGCACTTATATCATGTGGGCTTAGACCTTAGGTTGAATCATAAAGGCTAGAGAACAGAAGAACGATCGCTGTAGAAAATAGTGTCCCAGAAATATGGACACCATAAGTGAGACGCTGCGGTCGCTAAGTGTAGTCAATAAAAGTCATTTTCAGTCTATTTTTCCGATCACATGCTAAACCACTTACACATTCACGCACAAATAAACGAGAAAATTTGTACATTATTCAACTAACTTCATCTACTTGTACTCATAAACAGCTAACTTCACAGCCACTACTCACCGACGACGGCAGCGCCTTTATAAATTCTACAAATTTTCAGGGACATGCGGGCTAAGCACGTAGCGATCGTTTTCCTGTTCTCTAAGCTCCATGGTCTACGCTATTAACGCGTGCCTAGAGTTTTGGCGCGAACTTGGCCGTAGACGGATTGTCGCTCCTGTTTTGTCGCTTGAATAATGGTTTGAAGTGGATTTTTGATTCGTCAAAAGTGATGCTATTTTGTGAATTAAGTGTCCGCGCGTGTGAACTATTAGAGATAACGACGAAACAAGTGCTTTGATGTCGATATAAAACTCAAATTATTTTGATCGCTCGGGCACCTTATGAACTTGAGTGGCTGTCGTCATCAACTGTCCGCTGGGTTGAACTGTCATCAAAATCTCTCAAGGGCTTCGCAATGTAACGCATCAGCATATTGTGAAGAAAAAATATTAAAATGATTCAGAAAGAAATGATAGGCTCAGAAGGACTAGAACCCAGAGCTGTAAAGCCAGTTAATAAAAAACGCATGCATACGATTCACGCATTTGTCAAATTGAAAATTGATACACATCAAAGAGTATAATAGGTATATACAGGAACGCATAATACAAAACGTAGTTATTTGATCTATTGGTATAAAATAACGTTTTAAGTACATAAATATACGCTCATAGAATGGCTGGCTACAGCAATCCGAGTGATTATTCTTGGCAGCCTCCAAATAACAGCCAAAATTACTCATTTGACACCTCAAATAATTTTGCAGATCCATCTCAAACACTCGGTAAATATTTATTTATAACCCAAATACTTTAATTTTTGTGTATTTAAGACTCGGAGCAATATTCGAGGCCGTTGCGCAGCGTACATTTCAAATAAAACTGAAATCATTCTCAACTTTTTGTAAGAATACACGTACATTGACATTAAAAATAATTTGCAACCTACGATATAGTTTTAGGTGCGGTTTTAAGTTTTAACGGGATGTTAAAGAAAGAAGGAAGAAAGACGTGTGCGTCAATGAGAAGTTGAACTCGCTTTAAGTTTCTTTGTTGGTCTGAGATTTAAGATATATCGAATAAAACTTCTTTTACGTATCTTGTTGAGTTTAATGCGACTAAAGCTGTAAAAGTAGTTTTATTCAAAGTGTAGTGTTTGTGAAAATATAAGAAATCATTTTTGAAATTTTTGTCTACAGACTTTCAGACGTTTGCTCCAGATCAAAGCTTTTCCTACGATCAAGGACAGTCTGCTTCGGCCACTGCTAACAACAACCAATATTATAATCCAAGTATATTTACCCCTGCACCAATACCAGGAGAAACAAATACAACAACAGAATTTGATGAACCTCCACTGTTAGATGAGTTAGAAATATACCCTGATAGAATATTAGAAAAAACTTTAGCAGTACTCAATCCATTTCATGGCCATTCAAAGGCAGATGATGCAAACTTTTTATTAAGAGATACTGACATTGCTGGTCCTATTGCATTTTGCTTAGCTTTAGCAGTATGTCTTTTCCTTTCAGGTAATAAAGCTCATTTTGGTTATGTTTATGGTCTTTCTGTAATGTCTGTAATTCTAATGTATTGTCTTCTATCTCTTATGAGTCGTAGTGAGGGAGTTTTCACTATTTTAAGTGTTGCAAGTGTCTTAGGATATTGTATGTTACCTATGGTTGTTCTTGCTGGTTTGGGAATATTTATATCACTACAAGGCACAGTAGGACTAAGTTTGTCAGCTATTGCTGTAATCTGGTCTGCACTTTCAGCAAGCAGATTATTTGTAACAATGTCAGGTGATGCAGAACAAAGGCCCCTTATAGCATATCCTTGTGCATTAGTTAATGGCGTTTTTGCTTTGTTGGTGTTATTTTAAACATAATGGTAGGGATAATTTCGGACAATTGTAACTGTTAATTGCAAATAATGTGGCCATTAATAGATTTTTCAAACTGTATAATGTAACCAGTAATGACTTTTTTGTAGTAAGAAAACATTTAATTTTTATTTCTCTAATGTCATTTAATTACATGAACTGAATACTGAACTTGTAACTTAAGCCTTATGTACATAAGTAACAAAACCTAACAAGTGTGAAAGGAAATTTTAAAATTTACACATTTTTAAACAAGAAAAGAATATTTCTTTCAATTACCATTTTATTTATATCAATATTTCCTATATTAAATAAAAGATATAATGATATTAAATGTTGTTTCCTTTTGTTCATAACTATAAACTGTTGTCATTTTATATTAGATATATTGTTATTTAGCCAAGAGGTGGCAATATAAGACAACCACCCTTCCATCACCACACAACCATTTCATCCTGTGGATCATACAAGGCAATTAATAGGTTGGGGGAAAAATATTATTCGTATTTTGTTTGTATGAAATTGAAGAAAAATCTGTATACAAGTACAATCACTGTTTGTATCAGGCTGGTTTTAATATCAATACATATAGGACATTAAGAACAATAAAAAGTAAAAAACACTCCTATTTTTAACATGTTTTTCTGTCTGCCAAAATAAGTGATCTAATGAAGAAATTCGATACATTCTAAAATTTTATTACAAAAAGGGAAAAATGCGACTCAAACCGCAAAAAAAAATTTGTTATGTTTATTATATGTACACATATATTATGCAGTGTCAGTAAGAGTATCACAAAGTGGGTTCAAGCATTTTCAGTCTGGATTTTTGAAAATCTGAGCAAGATGGCAAGAAGAGGTGACACTGAAAGTACTTAGAAAATTAAAAACTGAACAAACTAGCGAGTTATTAGTTTTATTATATCTTTTCAAAATAGTGTCTATTTACATCAATACATCGCTGCATGTAACCACTGAGAAAAGCACTTTGCCCAGTCGTCCTTAGGGGTTTCTTCGACGGCATTTTGTATTGCAGCCACTACTTCCTCGGCATCCATAGAACGTTTTCTCAAAGTTTTTCTTTTATTTTCGGAAATAAATAAAAATCGCTAAGTGCGAGGTTGGGGCTTTAGGGCGGGTGACCAAGTAATTCCACGTCTGACGTCGCCAAGTAGGCGATTTTATGCATGGCGGTGTGCGTCGAGGCGTTGTCGTGCTGAAGGAGGATCCTACTGCGAGGTCATTTCTCCCGAACTTTTTCCAAGACAAGTGGCAAACAATTGTTAGTGTACCACTCTGCAGTAAATTATTTTAGATCCTCTAAAACAGTTGTTGCATAATGACCTATCCTTTAGAAGAACGGGACCATTTAGTCATCTTAAATGGTGGCATAAAAATAAAATGTATGTTTTAAAATTTGCAATAGCAAATATTAATTGTGAAAGTGTGCTGGGTCGACAAGCGTGTTCGGAACTAGGATTATTTCAACGTGTTTACGGCATTAATATGGTAGAAAATTCGGATCTTTTTGAAGGTTAAGGATGCTTACCTGGTGAGTACCATATAGTTGTTGATAAATCAGTTAAACTGGTAGTTTGTGCTTCGCGAAAAGTACCTCTAGGATTACGTGATAAATTATTAGAAGAATTGCACAGGATGACTGATTTAGGAGTCATTAGGAAGGTCATTCACCCAACACAATGGGTTAATTCAATAGTAATTGCAGCAAAAAAGAATGGAACATTACGAATTTGTTTAGACCCGAGACCTCTCAATAATGCTATACAGCGTGCACATTCCCAACTGCCGACCATCAAGGATTCGCCCTCTATTTATTTTAGTTAGCAACTCCTCGGATGGAAACACCCAGACAGCAGACTGTTTCTTAGTTTCAGGATCATAATAATAAATCCAGCTTTCGTCACCAGTATGTCGAACACGGAATTTGAGTCACTTCCGTTAAATCTTTGGACCTTTTTACGACACCAATCAACACGACGGAGTTTTTGGGCCTCTGTCAAATTATGAGGTATCCACCGGGCACAAAGCTTCCTGACCGTTAAGCCTCATTTACATTCAGCCCCTGCCACTGCTCCTCGCGCTGCCGGCAATACTTCGCTAAATACTGCCGTAGCAGGATCGCGGGAAGTGTGTATTTACATTCTGTCCTAACGCCCTACCACTCAACTTTCGGCTTTCGACCATGGCAGACGTCGAAATTATTACAGCGTCCGCGCTGTGTCTTCTTGCAATACAAAATTATGTTAATAATTTAAAAAGATATCAAGTTCAAAAGATCTTAGATAGATAGATAGAAAATTTATTTGCTTAAAAACATGATACCTAAGATGATCAATGACGTGGAACTGACATGTTTTGCCATAATTGGCATGCAAAAATGATATGAAATACAGCTAATTACACAAACCCAATGTTAAATTTTAAAATTATTATTGCATTGCTTAAAAGTTAGGTACAAACATTCTTTTTGAATTCAAATATTATGTACAATTAAATACTTATACAGATGCTCTCTATTTGAATTCTTATACAGTAAATTGTTCATAAATTATTAATTGAATTATTACATTATTTGTTACATAAATAATATTAAATATTCTATGAGATTAGTTAAGCTCTTATTATTTTAATAATTATACTACAGTATAAATTAATTCATAATTTTAATTACAATAAAATTATAATTTAAAAATCTCAGGCTAATATGCATATATTACGTCAATCAATTTGACGAATTTATAATTATGTACATAGGTACTATGTTATCTCAAAAAGAAAATTCGTATTCGTAGAAGATGAATTGTGGTTTTTATCGTTGAAATCCCATATAGTTTTTTCTGATTCCAGCAGTTCTAAAAACTTTATTGTATTTTCATTATTCCATTCGAAAGGCATTTTGGTAGATCGTACTTATTTAATAACAACACGGCACGCACGTCCGTTCATCCAGGCTCTTGGCGCGAAGTGAAAATGAGCGATGGAGCTGAATGTGAACACTCACTGATGCTCGCGCTGCCCGTCCTTTGACTTCCGCACGAAAAACCGACATTTAAGGGATCGTCGGGCAGTGGCAGCGGCAGCGGCAGTGTCAGCGCGAGTAGCCTGTTTACTTACTGCCCTGCTCACTTCCCTACCCAACAGGGCTGAATGTAAATGGGGCATTAAATATTCACGGACGATTTTGTGCACTTGACTCATACCGATGCCTAAGCTTGTCCGAATCTACTGCCAAGTCACTTTTTTGTCAGTCTATCATACGCCGCACAACACTGATGTTACCTTCAGTCGTCGCCGTAGAAGGCCGTCCTTCACGCAGGTCATCGGTGAGATTAGTGCGACCACGTAAACTCACTAAACCAGTTGTAAACAGTGGCACGAGATGTGGCTTCGTCTTGAAATGCCAATCGAAGTCCTCAGATGAAGTAAAAAAGTTCCTTTTTTTACTTCATCTGAGTCGAAGTCTATCGTAACTTTCTTGTTGACTTAATTGACATCGAAAGTTAACTGTACGAAAATTTTCTTGCGTTAAATTCATTCTGACGTGACACAGACAATTTTCAATTTGCCGCCAAATCGTAAACAAGTGGCAAATTAATCAATTACATACACAATAATATTGGCATAGAGTTCCAATTTCATTATTTGAAATTAATTTTTAATATATCGTTTACAAGTGATCAGTTCTAAAAACTTCAACATAGCCAAGTAATTGAGGATTGACCATAAAACAGTTTTGACCCATTTGAAAAAATCTGGCTATACAAAAGAGCTCGATAATCGAGTATCACACAAACTCGCTGAAAGAAACCACCTGCGACAAGGACGTGCGAAAATAATTATGATCAAAAGGTAAGTAGTCAAGCTCCACAGACTAGCGAAACCTGGATTAACACGCAATAAGGTGATGCTGTAAGTATAGTGTGATTGGAAGGGCATAGTTATGAACTTTTACCACCGGGCAAAACCATCGATTCGGATCTCTAATGCCAACAACTAATGAGACTCAAGCAAGAAATTGAGAAAAAACGGCCGGAATTGATCAACATAAAAGGAGTGGTCTTTCATCATGGTAACGCCAGACCACACACTCTTTGGCCACTCAGCAAAAATTGAGAGAGCTTGGTTGGGAAGTGTTAATACATCCACCATATAGTCCTGACCTTGAACCCTTAGATTTTCACCTGTTTGGTCTAATCAGAATTCTTTGGGTCATAGAACAACTACCTATATATACACTTTGGGTAGTGTTATGTTGACATCAAGAGAAGACTGTCAAAACTACTTGTCGCATTTTTTGATCAAAAATCCCAAGATTTCTACAGCAACGGGATTATATCATTACTTACAAGATGGCAACAAGTTATCGAACAAAATGGCAAATATATATAATAGCAAAATTTAAATGTTAAATGTGTTCTTCGTAATTTACGAAGAAACTTTTTCACCGACCTTATATTATAAAAAGAAAAATCTCATTTATGCCAAACATAAAATATGCGATGCATATATGCGATATGATGTATGATAGAGGAATAGATGTGTTATGTGTAAATGAGACGAAAAGGAAGGGGAAGGATGTCACTACACATGGCATGTATACGGCATACTGGTCTGGTGTAGACGAGATCGAGCGGGCATGCCAGGGAGTAGGTATAATCCTTTCAGAAAGAATGGGCCAATGTGTGAAAGAGTATGAATGTGTAAGCCCAAGACTGCTATGGATACGAATGAAAGTGGGCTTAACGAAGTTGTTTGTGTTAGGGGTCTACGCCCCAGACATGTCTAAGCCCACTTATATCCGAGAGCAGTTTTGGGAAATGGTAAGGATGGTGTTAATGAAGTGTAAGGGAAATGAAAATATTATTATGCTAGGAGATTTTAATGGAAGGGTTGGGGTGAGGAGGCTTGGTTATGAAAGGATATTGGGTACGTTTGGTGATGAAAGTATAAATGAGAATGGTGAAAGTCTCCTCACCGTAT